ACACAGGTCACACATATCAAAGAGCTCTGAAAGACAGAATTCTGTCCCTTGATTGTCTGCAAGTCCTCTTCTGGTGGACTGCAGTATGTTAAAATGAATGTAAGAAGGTATGCAAATTGCATCAAAGGTCAAATACAAACAGAGCCTTTTGTGTCAGACATTTTAACGAAGGTGCTGAATAACCAAGAACTACTGAACAAAACTATGGAAATTAAAATAAACAGGAGTTTCTGGTAAGTCAAGGGGTGGGGAGGAAATAATTCATCAAAGCCAAAAAAGAAGCCATTAAATCTAATTACAACCAGTAACAAGAGTTCCATATGATCAGCTTACCTATTTCACATACCAGGTTATGCCTTTTAACTTAATGCAGCCCAAATCTCACTTTTGGATATAGGCTCCCTGTCTACTCAGTTTAATGATCAATTAGATAGGTGGAAAAATATTCTATATGGCTGCTTTGCAACTAAGCAAAAGGACATTTCAACTTGCCTCCCCCCCACCCCCTTAAAAAATGGAGAATATAAAAATACTAATTACCATCAAATTAATTATCTTTGAATTTAGGATATATTTCATCATCATGACAGATTAATAGTGGTGCTCCAGTCATCAGGATCTATTATTCCCCTAGTCAGTGTGCTGAGGTAATTGTCGTTATAAAGACTTTCCCAGCCACACATGCCATCAGTTTGCCTGGAGAGATTCATAACCCTGATGAACAACACAATACAGTTTTCTGAACCTACCAACTATACATAACTATATATAGAGATGCCTACCAGAAGAACAAATACAAACTTAATCACCAGTGGATCTGCATGATCCAGTACCTGAAGGGGGCCTACAAGAAAGCTGGAGAGGGACTTTTTACAAGGGCATGGAGAGATAGGACAAGGGGGAATGGCTTTAAACTGAAAGAGGGTAGATTCAGACTAGATATAAGGAAAAAATTATTTACTGTGAGGGTGCCAAGGCACCGGAGCAGGTTGCCCAGAGAAGTTGTGGCTGCCTCCTCCCTGGAAGTGTTGAAGGCCAGGTTGGATGGGGCTTTGAGCAACCTGGTCCAGTGGAGGGTGTCCCTGCCCATGGCGGAAGCTTGGAACTAGGTGATCTTTAAGGTCCCTTCCAACCCAAACCCAACCCAAACCATAATAAAAACATTGCAAGGGGCGGGGAGGGACACCTTTCTAGAAAAAGATAAGGTATGCCAGAGTGACCAAAGAGAAATGTCGTATGTGCATTCCTACCTTTTATACCCAAATACACGTACGAAAGCACATCAATAACTCTTAAACTCCAAGTACAACTTAGGTGCTGGGCAAAAGTGGTCCTGATTCTTACCCCTTTCACTTCCTTACCCCTGCCACCTCCTCCCCAAAGCCATCCTGTAGCCCTGTCTGTTCTTTGGCTATGTATTCAATCTTACATTGCTTCTAGGTGTGAACAGAGAAGGCATAGTGCCACATCAGTTTGATTGCTTTATTGCAGCCATATTATTAGAGGAACTCCATTTCTACAGATTATCTTTTATTAAAGACCAGCTAGGAGCTTGTGATTCTGGCTCCAAACATATGGTTTCAGCATCAGTAACAGTTCAGAGAAAAGATGACACAGCAGCATTTACAACTGAGGAATGGCTAGAAACATGGGCAAACCTCACTGATGCTCTTCAGATTTATATGTGTTTTATTCTAAACATAGTCAATAATTTAAAGCTACAGTTTAACAAGTTAATGCTTGCCCATCTACTGATTTGCCTTGCCTTTACTCAGCCAGTCTCTTAGCTGTTTTAACCCAAATTTTCCAACCTTCAGTGAAGAAAAAGTCTGATGAGGATGCGCTAGGCTGTGCTACTTTATCACTTCAGAAGAATCATATTTTAAACTCTTTTTTTGAATGTAGGGGCCACACTAAGCCACTGGAGTGCTTTCAGTCCACACGGTCCCTTTACTCAGCTCTAAAAGATTAGGCATATTCTCCCTCTATTGACAAAAACTTAAAGGAAATAGATCTTTCATCTCAATCAAAAGAACGACAGGATGTGCCCTTCTACATAAACATGTAGGACAACAAGGACTCAGTATATGAACAAAGCTTGTTGTGGAACATTCAAGAAGCCAAGCCAACAATTTCCAAGGTTATCTTTGTTATCAAGACATCCTTGTTTATTTGAAACCAGCATGTATTTCAGTTGTCAGTTTAATCCACCACACTTACTGGCAAGTGCATTCAGTGGCAGGTTTTGAAGGCAAGCCCAATAGGATATAAGACATGAAACTAGGGTTCAATTGTTTAGTTTCCACTCTTTAGTGAGACTGATGTTTAAACTAGAAAAAAAATTCCATTAACAGCAATCTTAAGTATTTTCTGCTTATTTCTTTGCAAGTTTGATATTTGAGAATATTTGCAGATTTGCAATGCTGTTGCTTCCCCCCCCCTTCAAGGAATACAGCTATTTCAAAACCAATGCAACCAAAACATCGAGAAGTAGATGTCAATTGTTAATGGATAAAACTTGAAGACGAAGCCCCATACAGTTGTTATGCTGCTGTGTTCAACTTACTTTCAAAACCATAGGAGATTAATCATATGAAAAATTGGTAACTGTCCTTTTGAGAAATTGTACTGTGTTCTGAAGGACTAACTGCATGACTGCATGAATGTTTTAGAGCTTTTCAGTAATTACTTACATTCTCTTAGATACAAGAAAGTCTTGCCACCTCACATCATAAGCATTAATGGTGCCCTTAGAACTTGCTTTTAATCACAGGCTTGTCAAGCCATGCTAAATTAACATGGGTCAACAGATGTGTTAGGCTATACTAAAGCAGATTTTCAGGTCACTTCTCCAAAGCCTTGTTTAGCACTCCTGGCTCCTTTCACATGCCCTAGACTGAACTTTCCCTGTGGCAGTCTCGGTGGTGCCAAGCAGCTCTGAAACGTTCCTAAAGAATGTTATCTTGAAGAAATTGCCTGACTTCTGCTGTGGGGAGATACAGAGCAAGTTGGGCAATGAAGAGGAATTACTGTAACAAAATTAATACTTGTTATATTTTCCCCACCCCAGAGTAATGTTTTCTAATAAATTACTTGCAAGCTTGCCTGATCACAAGTCACAGTACATTAGCATACCTTCTAATGACTGCCAGGCTTTTTGGATTCTCTTGATGTGAATCAACAAACACTAAATCCAGGTATAAAGGCGTTGGGGGGGGGGGGGAGCAATGATGGAAATCCGCACTAGGATAGAATATCAATATTCTTTCTCATGATTGATCTCTGTAGCATTTCAAGTTTTATTTTTCAGCTAATACACCTGCAGACAGACATATTTAAGTCTGTGGAAGACATGTTCACACTGCTCAACTCCACGACTTACATTATGCAAAAATCCATTTAAGGAGTTTAAATATGCATAAAGGAGCAGAAATACCACAGCAGTATCATTTGAAGCTGTTCAAATGTAAGAAAATCGCTTGCATATTGACAGGTTACTGGACTGATCCTTCGCAGTTGATTTAATGCATCCTTTTGGATACTATAGAGAAATACTGCATCTGCTTATTAAGAAATAAAAAACTTTAAAATTGGGTTTTAAGAAGAAATGCACCGATCAAACACTACTATTTCAGAAGACTGCCCTGAAACCTCTGAAAACAGCCAAAAGATACTCTTGCACTGTTTAACAACTACATTTGAACAGCCCTTTGAAAGACACACATTTGACTTTACAAGAAGACCCCAAGTAAAAATCCCATAATCTTCCAGTCCTGAACATTTTACTTTTTATTGACATTTTCCATTCTTGATCATAGTCCAATGAAAACATTCATGTAGAGTTTGAGGAAAATACTTTCTTCCCTTTAATTAAAAATAATTGAACTTAGACATTTTCTAAAACATACACAATAGAAACTTCTCTTAATTATACCTCCAGTAAAGCTTGCACAACAGCTAGGGTAGAAAATAGAACAAAATCTACTTTCTATTAAATAAGTAACAGTACTGAATTGTATCCCACTATGGTGCACAAAGTATGTTTGCATAAATTTTATGAAGACTGCAAATAACAATGTTAAGAATAGATGACAGTAATCAGAAAAAGGCTTAGAAAATCTTCAAGCTGCAATATTAGTAATATGGAACCACCTCTACGAATACTCAGACATTAAAAAGAAAAAAGTATTTTCACGCTAAATTATTAGAGTTCTGTCATTTTGTTTTGCTGTAGAGTTAACTGCTTCAGTTACTGCCAGTTTAACTCCCCAGGCAAGGGAAGGCAAGGAAAATGGAAAAAGGTTTTTCAGTGTGGCTAAACTAAAAGTCTAACGTGGTTTATTTATGCCAGAACTCTGATTCATTAGATAGACTATCTCATAACCTCAAAGCTGAAGTGTGTGTTTCCTACTGAGAATCCAAAAATGGAGCAGCAGATTCACTTCCAAAAATACTTAAAAGTTGGTTATTTTTCATCAAATAATGAATTAGGATTAAATAAGAATTTGAGTTACTCCTCTCTTCCTCCCCAAAACACAAGTCCTCTCCACATGTCATATTCCTCATTGTTCTAAGTTCTGGACCCTACACCACAAATCTACCACAAAAATGGGCTTGGGCTAGAAATCACTGTATGTAGAAAAAACTCTATAGTGAAGCAGCTGAGGGAAGACTGTTAACTGTACCCATCTGCAGAGAAATTAAAAACCTGAGTTAATGGTTAAGTCCTACAGAAACTGGATTAAATGATGGAGTGCACTGACACTACCTATCTTGTACATTTGATCAGAACACCTACCACTTCCAACTCATTGCTACTTTTACATTACTTATGTGTAGAGGGAAGTAGTTCTAATCTCCAAAGCTACTTTTCATGTATACGTATCACTGCTAACATTGATTGTTGTTACGCTTTGATTACAGTGAAACAAGAAAAAAAAAAATATTGGAGTTAACTCCCTGTGTTGCAAGAGAGGAAAAAAAACCTGAACACAAAAACCATGAAAGACCGCCTCCAAGAGCTTAAACTGAGAGCTAAGGAACTACAGATAGCTGGAGAAAATAATAGTGCAACTGCACAAGATGATGAGCAGGAGGAGTTTGAACAGCAGGCCATTATTTATGAAAAAGAGCCCGTAACTGAAAGGCACTTGCATGAAATTCAGAAGCTTCAGAATGAAATTAATACTTTGGTGGAGGAAGTTCATAAATTCAGTCAACAACAAAAAAGCCTAGTATCTTCAATGAGAAGATTCAGTGTTCTGAAAAAGGAATCTAACATAGCAAGAGAAATAAAAATTCAAGCAGAGCATATACGAAAATGTTTGGATGAACTGTCAAAAACAGTGAAAAAAGCTGAAAATGAACATGGGCCGTCACGTGCCACAGTAAGAATTCTAGCTTCCCAGCACGCTTTCTTATCCCAGCGTTACCTAAATGCTATGCTCTCCTACAACGATGCTATAACTGCTAAGCAAGAGAAATGCAGAAGATTTATTGTGCGTCAGCTTGAAGTAGCTGGTAAAGAGGTATCTGAGGAAGAAGTCAATGACATGCTCCAGCAAGGGAAATGGGAGATTTTCAATGAAAATCTGCTCACTGAAGTCAAAATTACCAAAGCTCAGCTTTCGGAGATTGAACAGAGACACAAAGAACTCGTCAATCTGGAGAACCAGATCAAAGACTTAAAGGAACTTTTTATCCAGATATCAGTTTTGGTCAAGGAGCAAGGGGAGATGATGAACAACATTGAAATCAGTATGAACAACACTCAAGAATACACTCAAGTATCTAAAGAAAAATTTGGGCTTGCAGTCAAGTATCGAAAAAGAAACCCTTGCAAAGCACTATGCTGCTGGTGTTGTCCATGCTGCAAATGACAAAAGAAATAAACTGTTTGAAAGACCAATGGTTCCTATTTACTAAACTGATCTTGCGGAGCAGTCTCAGGATGCCTTGATTGCTTCATTTTTCCTCCCATTTCCCCTTCCACAGAGCTCTCAGGAAAAACTGCATCTGTTTTTCCAAACAGAGTTAGAAGTATGCAAAGAATTTTACGGTTTTCACAGAAACACATGAACGAGAGGAAAGGATCAAAGGACACAAGTGACAGATCTTTGTTCTTCGACTCAAACTAAAACAATGTGGCAACAAACTACCTGTGCTTTTGGGAAGCACTGAAAATGTTTATGTTGAAGATGCATTGAAGATGTTAGTCTCAAAGGCACGATTCATAAGAACAGTTTAGTTACCTTTTATAAAATTTATAAAATAATAGCTAGTATTTTTAATTGCCTTGTGGTTTTTTAGCACTGATATTTAATTGGTTCAAATTCTAAGTTTTTTTTCTTCCAGGAATCTGAAAATCTACAGAAAAAAGTCTACACGTAAAGCAGACATCATTAGTAACAATACAGAACATAATGCCTAAATCACAGCAGAAGTCAGAAGACAGTTATCAAGAGTGTTTCAGTCTCTATAGCAAAAGTTAAGTAAGCTACTTAATACCATGAAATAATGCTCATGTTATAGTAGGACAATGTGCACCAACAGACATTGGGTTGTTTATTTTAATAACAGCAGACTGTATTTCTTACAGATAGGTATTGAGCAGATATTTTCCAAACGTATTAAAAGATCACTAGCAGCAGAAGACCATGTCACCAAACCTACAGGGATATGTTAGCAGCCTGCTGAGAAGCCAAGCATTAGTAAACTGACACAGAGATATTTACATTATTCAACTACATAAGCAGACCTCTACCAGGTAAGGATAGGGGAATATGATACTTTATTACACAGGGGTAAGACACGTTCTTACTGCTGCCTAGCCTATCTAAATACGCAGTTGCCTCTGCAGTCTGACTTTCGCTCGTACAAAAATCAAGGAAAAAATATAATTAAAAAATAGAACTCCATCCTTACAAAGATACATATATTCTAAACCCAGTGAATTATTTAGGTGGGAAGGAACTTCTAGGGGACATCCAGACCAAACTCTTGCCTCTTGCTCAAATCAAGATAGGAATTTCCCTGGTTGCAGCTCTTGTCCACTGCTTCTTACTCTACCACCACACCTCTGAGAAGAGCCGTGCTCTGTTATCTCCACACCTTACTAGTAGGCAGCAGGAAGATCTCTCCCGTTGTTTATTCATCTGAAGTCTGAAAAAACACAGCTCTCTGACTCTCCTCATACGTCACGTGCTCCAGTACCCAAGCAGTGTGGACTCACTATAGTATAATCAACACTTGTATTCACGGTCTTCTGTTAGTGGGAAGTCCAGAACCAGACACGGTATAGGACACGCATTTATTTCTACTACTAGAGGAGTGCCAAGAAGAAAAAAAAACAACCACACACTAAAACCAAACACCAAAACAGGAATGTGTTTCTGAATTCCTTTATACTGTGCAAAGACACAATCAATACCCCTATATCTAAATACAGTCAGAGAAGTCAGAGCAAATTGCTCTGCAATTCTGCAAGACACCAAGCGAGCTAGATGTCTTTAATTACATATGGTGTGTGTATTGGGGGGGGAAATCGATCTGCTATCAAAAGACACTACTGAATTATTTTCACATTGCAATATTTATAAATAGTTGGATTCCATCCATCGCAGCTTAAAATTGCAACTGAAATTAACTGTTATCAAAGTAAAATTGGAGGTCTGAACCTTAAAGTGAAGAAGATTGTTTACACACTAGCGATGAAAAATGAAATTAGATACTGACACCACTGATACTATTCCATTAAATAATCTCCCTTAACTGTTTCATATATGGAAGCTACCTTCTACCTTCCAAGCGCAGAGTAGAAACTAGCCAATAAGCAATACAGAGAAAAAATTTGCTATGGCCAATATGCTCTTTCATATATATATATATGTAGGTATGTATGTAAACATACATCATACACACAGAAATATGCACGGGACAGAAACACCAGCCCATCTTCTTTTCCTGTTTCCACTTTTAGAACAAACAAAGGTCCGTAACAGACAGCCCTTCCATTCTCTCCTAGGCCCTTAAAAAGAAAGGCATTACGGTACTTCTGTGAAGGATTTTTGCAGCTAGAGTTGACAGAAAGAGAAAAACAAAAGACAACAAACACCACCTGTTTACACAGCATCCCCCCATGCAGGAGTGTTCACACAAGCAACCTTATCTGAGAGAGAAATGTGTTCCTGGGCTAGCCCTTCTCCTTCACACCAGAGATGTTTCTTTGAAGTAAACAGGGGCTGGTTAAACAAGAGCTACATTTTAAATCCTCAAAGAAAACTCAAGTTTCAGTAAAACTCAGGAAGACAGCTGCCTATCCATAGGCAAGTAAATAACTGAAGTAGTTTTCAGCTGTATATCGGTCAGAAAATAGCAAAACAGAAACATACATAACATGCTGCAGAAGAACTAAGAAGAGAGAAAACCAGAAAGACTTCTCGAAAGCTTTTTCTTAATGCAGGTGCTACTAACTGAAAGTAATTCGTATTAAGTACAACTTACATTGACATAATGAGAATTTGACACTAGGCATCCACAATCATTAACAGTAGATATTATGCAGGCTGAAGTAATCATGAAAATAACTTTCTGTTGTTTTGCTTTTTTTTTTTAGTTACATAGTTATGCAGAAGAGTGAACAAATTAAAGCAGAGCTGCTAGTATTCTAATAAGAAATGTGAAATATTAATAGGTACAATCTCTCATCACCAAAATAACATGCAGAAAGCAGCTTTCTACTAAAAAAATAGCTGCCCAGCGATCTCTCTGCTACAGAAACATCGGCCACAGCACATGGAATTGTATTTCCTCTTGTATGTGTTTTGTGTCAAATAACCCCCCCCAACAAAAACAATATTTGTATTTGCCTAGATAATACAAAGCATAAATACTCCTTTCTGATAAAAGGAAGGACAAAATAATTCAAAGAGAAGACAATTTAAACTTGCATACTTCTCTGTCTTGAGGATGCTGACAGAAGAATTGACCCACGAACATAAGAACTGCAAGAACTCTTATTTTCTACAACTCAATTTCCCCATACTTAACAGACTGATTAACTACTTAAGCACTGGACTGTTAAATGAGGCCTACATGGGTAAAGCAAACATAAATTAAGTAGTAACACTGAACAGTAAAAAAAATGCCAAATAAAAAGTTTAACGACTTCAAATAATTTGTACCAGGAGTCAATAACAGCCAATACCATCACCACTTTAGGAAAACTGTCTTAAAATAACTCTGTGATACTTCCATGGCTGGTGATACATAATAAGACGCCACAGTACCAATTCAATTTGAAGCAAGTATCACACTAAGCAATGTCAGAACTCCTATATCCCCATGTTACTGTAGTATAGAGTGTCTTGTACTGATCTTATGCGCTCATTGAACAATTCAGCCTATTCTCTTTCCAGGCCGTTTGGCCTCCACTTCTCCCTAAATAATGCTCAGGCTTGCTATCCACTCCTTTATTAGGGAAGATGAGGAACAAGCACAGTCTTCCATTCTACTTCTGACAGCAGTCTGTCTCCTTACCCCTGGCAAAAAGCAGAGTTGCCACATGCATAGGCACACTTATTGGATTAGGGCATACCATAATACAATAGCTTGGGATGGAAGAAAAAATGGCAAAAGGAAGGGTGGGCCAGTGACTCCAACTCTGCTTTGTTCTGATATGAAGATTCATCTCAAACTCATTAGTAATGGATCCTGTTTTTCATTGTGCAATGAGACCCATCTACCCACGATAATTCACAGCGGTATCTTGCTAGCACTACTCACAGTATAAAGTTAATTACGAACAAAAGACATCTAAGAAGACATGCAGGGATGCAAATTGACATTAATTCTCAGAGCTTTTCAGAAAGGACTGTTGCTTGTTTTGACAGATGTAAAACAAAATAGGAAAAATATTCTAGGGGAATTTTCTGTTATTCAAAGAAATAATAGAAATAGAATATTTACTGGGAAAAGCTAGCATTTAAAGAAGCCCAGTTTTTTAACTTTAAGGAAATTTTCCAGAATAAAACACATACATTTTCAAGGACCTGCTCTTCTATTGGAAAAATTCTAAAGTATTTGTTGTGGATATAATTTTCCACATACTTCCTGAAAGAACTGAGGGCCTCATTTGCATACCTCCCTATACGTTATAATTAAAACACTTTTACTGCACGCACCACAGTCCTAGCTGGACAACATACCCAAAACTGTTCTCCCACTTCTCCCCCCCCCCCCCCTCCAAAACACGGCCTCACCTTGGACAATGCAAAAGAACAAGCTCTGGCCCCTGCATAAAGTGGTGTGGGCTGGCAGCCAGATACACTGTTTGGAGTAAAGAGCTTCTGGAAATCCCTTTCTGGAGAGGACTGGTCACATCCACACTACAGCACTCGACCCCAATCTCTTGTGGGCTGCATGCGACATCCCTCTGGCCTTAGGACTTACATATATAAAGTTATTTTATTTTTAATTCAACATGTCCAAAATAATGACCAGTGGAATGCATCTCATAAAAGAATTGTTCATGCTGGTATCATACGCTTAAAGTTTTGGGACACAGCATGAGGGCATGTAGTGTGCAAGACCTGCTGATGCAGTGTTGGAGACCTGTCCTGATTAGCAGGAGCTGAAGTGGGTATGGTCTACACCCTTATCATCTGACCAAACTACAGTGCCGTACAGACATATCCTCGCAGGAAGAGGGAGGACACGCAACTGTTTATCTCCGAGAAGAAATCAGTGTATCAGCTACCACATACGCAGTATGGCTCATTGTGGTGACAGCACCCAAAGAACAACAAAAAAAAAAAGGGAGTAGAGGGGAGGGAGCGAATGACTAAATCTCTGTGTAGACAAATCACATAATTAGTGTGCT